GACCGCTACTATAGATGATGAGATAATGACAAAATATTCAAAATTTTACATTGAGGAACATTATTCAGAAATTGTTCCACAATTTTCAGATGTGATTTTTAGTATTATTATTTTTATTTTTGTAGATTGGTAAACTTCTTTTTTTTATACTCCAATCATGTTACTGATCTAATTAACATAATTAGTTGCAGGACGTCGCTTACATTTAAACTTTACAGCTTTTTCAGAAAGGGCTTTGTAATATTACCCTTTTCTGTATTTTCTAAAAATTAATTACTTGACATTACTAAGAAATGTGTTTGTTATTATTACTTTTAACTTTTTTTAAAAGAAAAACATCAACAGTGTTTGAATCAAATAGTCCTCAATTAAGTTGATAGAAGATGAACTAATGTTTGCAGCAGCATCTCCCCTGCACTTCCCTCTGATTCACTAGCTGCAGGTAACGCTTCTGGTGAGAGGCTCTCAGCCTGTAGCTATGTTTAGAAGAATCTGACAAATAGTCAAGAGTGTACTTCTTAATGTTAACAGGGGAGAACAGAATGTGGGGACAGCTGCTAGTTTGCTTATCCTTACCCTTTAGCAAGACTAGGCACCCTACACAGTTAGGTCCATAAGTTTCTGGACAGAGACACTGTTTTTGATCATTTTGCTGCTGTATGTGACAGAAGTGTAGACTATTTTGCAAAAGTATTTATTTACTGTTTAGGAGCTCAGTAATTTACTAATTACAGCCATTATAACGTGCAAAAAACGACACAAAAAAATAATGAAGAAACTGAAAAAGTAAGCAGTTTCACAGACAGATGAAACCAAGATGAGCTTCTACCAGAATGAAAGGGAGTGAAAGGTATGGAGGAAGAAAGAAAACAGCTCATGAGCTAAAGCACATTATTTGCAAACATGGCAGAGGCAATGTTGTGGCATGGAGATGTATGGTTGCAAGTGGAACTGGTCACTAGTGTTTATTGATAATGTAAATGCTGATAGAAGTATCAGACTTGGATTTTCATCCAAGTATTAAAAACAATTGTTAAATCTAACATTATCTTACTTAGTTTTTCATTTCTTTTTTCGGCCTATATATAAACAGCTGTAATTCCTAAGAAGTTAATGCAATATTTTTCTTAATCCCCTTGAAAAAAAAGCTGAAAGTATGCACTTCAATTACTTCTTGACTGATCTGGTGTACAGAAGCACAGCTGTGTCACTGTTTCAAGAACTAATGGAGCTAACAGTATGTGTTTACAATTCAAAATTGAGGTCCTATTATTTTGTATCCAAATTTAAAATGATAAACACAGAAGAAAAAGAGCAGAAAATCCTCATGCTTTAAAAAGCTGAATCTAGTAAGTATGAACTGATTCAATTACCATAACCCTGTTTCATTTTCAGTCGTCTACTCATTTAAGTGCTGCACCCTGTACCGGACTATCACTAGATAGACTAGATAGACTATCAAAAAGCATGCATCTAATCGAAGACTTGCTGCACAGTGATTAAAAAAACTACAGAAAACTGGGTATGTTTGGGTAACCCACAGAGGACATACTGTAGTGTACAGTGAGTCTAAAAAGGTAAAGGCTAACAGGATGTAGGGAGCATAAAGGGGGAAAAACAACAGCCGATAAAGAGAGGGAAGTTGCCCTTTAAGCAAGAGCTTATTTGCCCATGTCCCCAGGGCAAGGAGTTCCCATGAAAGCCACATACCGGACAGAGTTATCACAGCACATCAAACACGTTCAACCATCACTGTCTCTCACACCCGATCAGTCTCCCTTCCAAACACACCCACATAGACTCACGATACAGATATCAGACGGCAGGTTAGAACAAACTTTATCCCTCTGTCCCTTCAGCACTCTTTGTATCTTTTATACACAGACAAAAACCACACACACAGACACACATCGAAAGCAAACTGTCACTAGCACCCAAACTGCATGTCCCCTTTCAATGAAAGAATGCCGAAAGGAATTTCCTGACACCAGCCAAATGACCAAGCAACTGCCCGTGTGGGCAAGCGTGGTAAACTAAAGTTAAAGATAATAAAACCAATGCTGCAGCTAAAACTATGACATCTTGCTTTGGCAGCAAAATGACTCTGGTGCGTAGCGCGCATCAAGTTCCCGTGTCAGAGCCGTTGTCTGTTCAGTTTTCTATCAGTGCCGAAGTACATGAGAACTAAACAACTGACGTGCAGCAATCCTCCTGCCCTGCAGGCTACGGTGAGGCTCCTGCATGGGAGAACACCTGCAGCTGCCTAATCATTATTGAAATGTGCACCAAAAATCAATGTGACAACTTTGCTTCAGTGATGTGACTTCTGTTCTATTCTCAATACCCACTGAAGCCTCTGTTTGTTTTCACTTATAACTTTTACCTCTATGCTTTAAACGTGTGAAGCACAGGAAAAATGTGCTCTGTGCAACTTGTGTTTACGCTCATTAAAGAAAAAAGCACAAGTCCTAGACAAACATATATCTTTAAACACAACAAATATGCTGCAATCCGGTTGCACAACTTCCATAAATCACTTCACAGGGAAGCACAATAATCCCTCAAAACAAAAAGCCGCTGAAAAATTAAGCAGGCATACAAAGGAAGAGCCAGGGGACTGTGTGCGTGTGTGCGTGTGTGCGTGTGTGCGTGTATGCGTGTAAGCGCAGACGGCTATGTTTTTGCAATTGAGGGGGACATACAGATGAAAAAAGAAAAAAAAAAAGAGCGACTATAAAGTGGCGAGGGGTACAGCAAGGGATTGTAGTTGGTGGGAGCGGGCGGTCAGCAGAGGCAGAGGGAAGGAGTGAGTTGAGTGGGGGTGGGGTGGGGGCAGAAGGGGTGGGAAAAATGTGTGTGAAAGAGAACAAGAGAGCGAAAAGGGAGGGCGGTGGGCTGGCACAGACAAAAGGTGGGGGCGGCCTGATAAAATATGTGCCAATGTTTGTGTGAATGAAAGCAGTGACTATAGCTAAATTTCTGCACCAACAAAAGCAGCTACAGTTGTGCACGGAGAGGAGTGGAGACATACCTTTAGTGTTTAGAAAAGGCTGAAAACATGAGGTGATTATATTAGCGCAGGAATAGTTTCCAATGGCATGTTCTGTGTCACTGCCCGACTCGGTGCAGAAGGCTGAGGGAGAGCAGGGTAAAGGACCATAAACATATAAATGTACTTTAAGTGCAAAATCAGAAATAAATTATTAAAAAATATTTAAATAAACAGAGCTCAGTTCTCCATTCATCATTGATCCCGTCATTTTTAAAGCAATAAACACCAAATGTCCCGCCGTGACAACATCTCGACTCTTAGGACTCACTCTTCTTGGTCTCATGTGAGCGGCTATCTCACACGGTTAAAATAAGACAGAAGAGGCCATGTGAAATATTACCACTGGATTTAGAAACTGTGAATTCTTCTGCTATTTTTTATTTTTCATTTGCATAATGTAGATCAAAAAAAGTTAATTAAGCAAATAAATGGGAGATTGCGCTCGCTGCTCTGTAATGGAAATGATAATAACGCATTACTACAGAGACACAATTACCACGGGGCAAAAAGTTTTTCCATCAACTCGTTCTTCATTTAAAATAACAAAACGAATGCCTTGTAATCAAACTTCCAAGGCTAAACTGGTAGTTTCAGATGCAGTTTAGGCATGAAGTTATTATAGCAAAGTGTATTATCAGGTCATTTGCATGTGTCTAGTCTAGTCAGAGGCAGAACTTTGCATACTATCCCTTTGTTGATTTTCTTGACTGAATGAGCACGGTTACAGTGTACCAGGGAGTCAGGGATTAGTAGAAATGTTTAGAAGATCCAATTGGCAAGAAAAAATCTGGCTGCATTTAAGTGACTGATTCATTGAATATGTCTCGTGTGCAGATCAAAACCTAACCACATAAAACCACTTCCTGTCTGCGACACTAACTTTTCCACACATAACCAATACAACAACTTGAATCTGTCCAAATTCTCACAACTGCAAATTCGTCCCACAGAGATTTAACCTCCTAGGACCTGGCGTCCACATATGTGGACATCACATTTTGGGTTATTTAGGCCAAAATACTCAATGTTGCTCTACAAGGGTCTGATATCCTCTTACGAGGACGTTATACTGCTACTGTTCTATCAAAATTTTAAACGAATATCCTCATATGTGGCTCTCATTTATTAATTTTTTTTTACATTTTTAATTGATTAATTAATGCCGTGGAAGAGTTCGGGTCTTAGGAGGTTAAAGAGGAGATGGAGGCCGAGTGATATGGGGAGACAGGCTAGAGGTAACACAAGGTCTGAGAGCTGCTGGCCAAATTTTGAATGGGCCCAATGTCAAGCGGAAGCTATTTAGAACAACACAGGTCTCAGCTGTTGGCCACAGATAAAATATAAAGGCAGATGTGTCTGTGTTTAACGGGTATAAATACTTTTTAAATTTCAATACAAAATAAAAAAAAAAGTTGAGACTAAAGTGATTATTTCTCCACCTCGACTACACAAGTGCTTCCGCACATGTTGCTTTCTTCTCTGGAGCCCAATGAAAAATATCGAATCCTGGTTACCAGGATCAAACACACAATTATTTGTTCTCTTCCCATTAGGGAAACGCAAGGCTGAAAACACAACAAGGACTTTTGTCCAATCCAGGTCAAGCATGGGAGAGTAGAGTGTAGGTAGCACACACGGAGTACTGTTCACTGAGAGACGGAATATGTTATCTAACCCTGTTTTGTTTTTTTTTGGTTCTCTTTCATTCCCCTTTGCGAGCAGAGCTGTCCAGTTCTGAGAGATTCCTATGGTCCAGGTGCGGGAAAGGCTCCTTAATCAGCCAAAGTTGAAACAGGATTACATGTCACTAAATTGGCTTACCACTCCTGGAGTTCCTATGAGCCTTCCCATTCCCTCAGTCACTGAACTTTCATGGATGCTGGAGTACTCTGAGCTCAGCATAGTGTTGATTTCAGGAGTTTAGCACCTGTCAGCCTTTTTCTTTTTTTGTAAAGAAGCAAGTGCCCTCTCTAATGTTTTGAATGCACCACTACTACTCTCATCTGGATAAAACCACTGTTTTGCTATAGATCAATGGTGAAGTTAAGGGAATGCATACATTTATAAATATTATATCAATACCTTTTGCTGCTGATGGGAGACAGCAGGGGTGATTTTCATTTTTTAACATTAATTGGCAAATTGCTTAGAGCCCCCATGATGTGGCCGGTCACGCAGTACTCACTGGTTCGTGTATGTTATTCATAGGTATATAAATACATGGTACCAACACAGTGATGCCTGGATGTGCATGCACCATGATGTACAGCTATTGGCTAGCAGATAGCTCAGCTGACTTTGGAAACGCCACGCATAACATAGAGTACAATCACGATACAGGGCGAGAGCATAGTGACTGAGACGGCTGACACCGTCACAAAAAATAAATAAATAAATCATCAAACCTCCAGGACTTGCCCTGAGCACATTTCAAATCACTCGAATGATGGGCTCACTGTTGGTGTGTGAGGGCCCGCAGGTCTGCACTAAGTGTTTTAACACCGCGTGAATTAAAATGGAATATTATGTGTCGGGATGATAAACACCTCCTGAGCGATCTCTTAATGCCCAAACAGACGGACAAAATAACAACAGCACCTCACCGGGGCACCACAGTCCAGTAATCACGCAAATTACTATCTGCACTGTAAATGAAAATAACAACAAACATCACTCACCCAAATGCAACATCGCAGCTCGTCGGTCCAGCGTTATTTAGACTGAATAGCTAGCAAACTCACAGAAAACTGGATATAGTAGGCTATCTATCTACAAACCTTGGTGTTATTTACAGGAGATTTACACTGGACTTTCTGCCTACAAAAATATTTTACACACGCTCAAAAAATGTATAATAAAAAAGCTTCGGCAAAACAAAAATAAAAAATCCGCTGGGCTCGTTTGTTGCTGTCGTTTTTTTCCCTCTTTACATTTTACAGGCTTCTCGCGGTGTTGTCAGGTTGAAAATCCCCACCGGAGTCGTCGATCCTCGGTCTGTGTGAGACACGGGCGCGGAGCACTTGGGATACGTGTATCCAGTTTAGACGATGCTTGCCGTCGGTCTACAGATTTTCTCACTCGCTGCTCGGTTTGTCGGCTCAAAGTTGACCAACACGCCATTCATGTGTATCCGGAAAATATCAGCAACTTATGTACATAATTTACAACGTACGAGTCCAACGGCCTTCTGCAGTTTCTCGCGTGTACTGAGCGCGCGCCGCCTGCCAGTTCTCACTTGCCACAGGGCTCATCATCAGCCAGAGGACGAACACAAACCGACAGTTAGCTTACTACGCCACTAGAGGGCGATACGCCGCGTGTTTATGCCCGCAGTTTATCGTGTGGATATGGTGATGCATTCAAATGCTCGTCGTAAAAAATCTGTTTCAGGGGAGGAAGCAGGGTTTTCAGCGGTCTTGCAAAGGCAATTGAAACATTATCTGTGACTGACAGAGACACGGCTGCATAAATCTATATACTATTATAAAAAATAATTAATTCAAACACTATGTTTATATGTATGTTTGTTAGCTTTTCGTGGAAGAAGTATTCAGTAGAACTACAAGAAATTTCTCAATTAAAAATCTGAAGTTTAAAACCAAAAGCATGAATAGAGGTAAAATAATAAAAACTTAAAAAGCTGAAAACTCTAAATAAATCATGTGCATGTTATACTTTCATTTGATACATTAGATCAGGAATGACTAACTCACGTTACCTCGTACATACATCCCACTTTGAATCATTAGGATGCCTTTATATAAGAAAAAGAAGCACAGTTTCAACAGAACATGACAGCTTTTTTCCCTTTATGATATATAAATGCTGCTATAGTTAAAAAAAAGAAAAGAAAAAAAGTGTCAGCACTACTCGTTGGCCTTAACCGTATGAACTAACAGTGTCAAGCCCCCCACCCCCCGAAATCCCAGATAGTTCTATAAATTTCTATTTCTATCTCTGTCGTAAAAAATAATGTATTGCTTTATGAATTTGGTGTAGCAAGAATGAGCAAACGCTTGGCCTTTATCAGTAAAGATAATTCTGTAAAACTTATATGAAAATACAGTTAAAAGTCCTTTCTCGTGTTTTCCAACGTTTTTATTGGGGTCGGATTGGAGTCTTTTGACACGCCTGCATCACATTATTCATGCTTTCATTGCAATTAGTTGGTTAAGGTGAAGCTGATTTTAACTATAGCTTTCATTCTCTGTTCTGTAACAATTCACCACATTATCCATATAAATTAAAATAGAAACTTCTAACTATCAGATAAGAAGTACGATATTGCACATCCACAACACACACCTTAGTACAAGCGCAAAGTAGCTTTTAATATAAATACTTACTATTAAAGAGAAACGCTCAAGTACCTCAAAGTTTATTTTAATGCAATAGTGGAATATAAAAATTAGTTTATACTACTCGTTTAACTGCATATGGACACATGCATGCATATACATCCATGTTATACTGTTTTTCTTGCAAGGTATGACGCTAATGACAAGATTTCCACGAGAGCAAAAAGTCTTTCCGGTCTCTATCCAGCACTAAATTTAGTTCTACTTTTGTGACAGTGAAAACAATTCCCAATCTAACTCTAAAAGATAGAAGTCAGGCATTTGGGGTGCAGATTTGCTCTTCTACCTCAGGTTTTCAACCCCAGTTTGTGCCTTTGAACGTCAAATAACGCATATTGCGAATTCACGATTTTTCTCCCACGACCTGAATGCCCCATAACACATTTCAATGAAACAATGAAATTGATCGTGTTTGACATTACTACGTTACAGTGTACCGATTCAACGACCATCGCTATTCTTTGCTGTCACTGAACTCCCTGTCAAAACAGAAACGGTGCATTCAGTCCGAAGCTTTTATCCCCAGCAGAGCGTATGCTTAGTGAAGCAAATGCCTTGAGCAGGATGAACTGAGTAACCCCAGTGAGACTTTGCCTTTTGTCGCCCTCTGGTGAATTTCTCCAAGCATGGCAGATGACTCAATATTAGGGCCCACGGGGAAAAAAAAACAAAAACAAAAAAAACAACACACTGATATTAGAACATACTTTATTCATCATCATTGTCGTCACAATAAAAGCACAGACTGTAATCTTTTGTAGAAAAAAAAATTACACTTTGGTAGCACAACCTAATTCAGAAAGGCGACTGAAACAGACTTAACCATACAGAGCGACAGAGAAGAACTAGGTCTTTACACTTTATATATATATATTAGACTTTCAAGAAGCAAAATTAATTCGTTCAACATAAAAAGAAAAAAAAACAAAACAATCAATAACCATACCAATAATCTTTAAGCAAAGCAAAGAGTGTAAAGATGCCTGCAGGCCTGGGACAGCTTCAGAACCACTGGCAGTGTTGTGATGAACCCACACAAATAGTTTGCGTTCTGTTTAAGTATTTAAAAATAAATAGTTTTATTAAAGGACAATGACAAAGACTAATTTTAAAAAGAAAAAAACAGACGAAAAAACAAAACTGTAAACTTGTGATGAGCAACAACTAGTGTACATCAAGTTCTACGGAAACAATGGCAGCTAAGCACTATTACTAATGAATTTGACATTACACAACAAAAACATATTAAAGTATGAAATATAAAATACGTCCACAGACCCAGTTTTTCTTTCTACTCTGAATTAGGGTTTCCAGCATGAAACCACTAACTTAGATGTTTATTTTTTTTCTACATCATAGTATTAAACACTTATCTATGCTGTTGCTCAAGTACAAAAAACAAAACAAACCTATAGGCAGTCCTGAAGAGAGAGAAATGTACCTATTTCCAACAATGGCTTTGGAAGACCTACTCTAGCTGTATTCATCCACTCATCACTGTTACACTTTGGTTATCTGACACTTGCAGTGTTTCCTGTAAGATTTTTTTCCAGCGCTCAGGGAAAGTATACCTGGGTGATGACTGAAGTGAATAAATCACACCGTAAATGTCAAAAAAGCGGTGCCTTACTGGAAAAGAAATGTAAGAAAATATGTACAGAGGGCACTATGAATTAAGTCATTGGCAAGTTTGCAGCCTAGCTGGCAGCACGTTCTTTTCCCTGATAAGTATCATACACATTGTGTGTGTGTGTGTGTGTGTGTGTGTGCGCGCATTTACCCAGCCCTAAAGCCTGTGCATTTTATCTCTGCTCACTCTCTCTTTTCTCCATCTGCCATCACACTCATAACCCTAGCAGAACATTCATTATCAGTCAACATTATTATTATCAATTGATTTTGTTATTGTAACGGAAAAAAATACATTTATAGAAACTTAAAGGAAACCACAAGTTTAGCCTTATATATGTGGACATAAAACTTGGAGGACAACTGAGTTCACCTGATAGCTCTTTCTATAATCCATACTTGTCCATTGGTTTTTATAACCAACAAGATAATTAGTCTTCATCCTCTCATCAAAGCTGTGTACACTGACAAACCGTTTCATGTGAGAGCGGAAGCAGAGGAATTGCGTAAGTCCAAAAGCTCTATACATTTGCATAGTGAGAGTATAGGGCTGCCTCGATCTACTAACTTTTCCATATCTTTTTTTTTCTTCTCAGGTGCAGTAATTTTCATAATGGAAACACTGAGTTGGACTTTGAAGTTTCCCACAGCCTAACATAATCTTACTTGATTCCAAAGCATTACTTCAGCTCAAAAGTGGCTCACAAAGCTTAAATCAGAAATCCTCTACAGCAGGTTTCAGCAACTTTAAATATATCAAGTCAAGACGATCTTTGCACTGAGCTCATGCCTCTGCCATGAGAGGACAAATAAAAAAGTTATTTGTGGTCCAGAGCTTGAATTTTGTCACCCATTAAGCAGTTCCTGGACCTTCTGACAGTTCCTCCAGGTTCTGTTGCAATGCATATGAGGGGTACCAGGCAGAGTTAACTTTCCAGTGGTGGCCGCAGAGGAATACAGCCATCCATCTCCAGTGACTCGGGCCAGCCTTCATATTTGTTGCTGCTTTTACTGTTTTTCATACGCTAAGGGGGAAAGACAAACATAAATGATGTCAGCAAAACAGACTGGGATCAGGTTCCTATAGCACAGTAGCTGCTGAATAATTGTACACAGAGTGCTGAACAGCCATTGGAAACCCCCCCCCCAAAAAAAAAAAAAAAAAATCTGCATTATCATGTGGTAGTCCAGATGCAAAAAAAACCCTAAATCAAATGAAAAATGCAAATATCTTATTAGCCAATCACATGGCAGCAACACCAAGCATGTAGGTACAGAGTTGCTACCATGGCCAACACGACCTGTTGAACTTTAAACTTCAGTAGGTTAATCTTTTTTTTTTAAAGCAGGTTAATGTTTAAACTTCTGAAACCCAAAGAAAGATGCCTTAAGTGACATTGAACGTGGCATGGTTGTTGGTGCCAGACAGGCTGTTGCGAGTATTTCAGAAACTGCTGGGATTTTCCTCAGCAGCTCGACGCCAGAGAAGAACTGACACATTGTAGAAATGCAGCATTAACTTAAATTATGACTTGTTAAAATGCAGGTTTACAGAAGAGGATCTATAAAAGTTGAATTTTAAAGAAAATGGGCTACAGTGGTAAAAGACCACCCTGGGTACCATTCCTGTCAGCTAAGAACAAGAAACTGAGGCTACAATTCACACAGGGTCACTGACATTAAGTTAACAATAGATGATGGGAAAAATGTTTCCTGGTCTGATAAGTCTCGATTTCTGCTGCAACATTCAGACCGTAGGGCCAGAATTTGGCGTAAACAACATGAAAACATGAATCCATCCTGCTTTGTATCAACAGTTCAGAATGTGGTCGTGTGCCGGCCTTTAGTGCAAACAGAGCCTCTGCAGTCTTAGTCTCACAGTCACAGCTCTCAATCCAACAGAGCACCTTTGGGATGTGGTTGAATGGAAAAACATACATCATGGATGTGCAGCCTACAAATCTGTAGCAACTGTGTGATGTTATCACATCAATACGGACCATAATCTCAGAGGAGTGGTTATAGATAATGCTGTTTTGTAATACTGTTGTGACAGTTGCACTGTGATCTAGTCGCACAGGAAGAATATTTTCTACTGAACATTGGCGTCACATCAAAGACAGCACACCGACTCCACCTTCAGCCCTCGATCAGCACTAATAGTAAAAGGAACAAACCTGCTCAAAGGGACTCTTATTCTCAATACCCTTGGCTCCAACAAACACCCAGCTGTCTCTAAAGGCCAAATCCTTCACAGCTGTGCTCCCGAGCTCCTCAAAAAGCCGTCGAGACTCTTCATTCAGCCTGACATAGTGAAAAATACAAACAAAAAACCAAAGACAACAAACAAGTTTAGAGGGGTTTTTTAAACATGCTCTCTGCACAATTTTATTTCAAGGAAACCACAAAGTTACAAACACCATTTGCTTAATAAGGAAGATATTGTGGTCTCTGCAATAAAGTCTCATCATCAACACTTTAATAACCATCATCCAAGACATCAAGAATTAATTGAATCAGTCTAATTTAATTCAGTTCGACACTTTGTAAATCTAATTTAAATCGAATCATGAAGTCGGTGTTCACATGTAGCACCCCCGATAAATCTTAAAGGTGAAAGACTTTTGTGTCAAGCCTGCCATTCACTGTCACATTATCATATATTCTTCCTTGCACTGCTCAGTGACTGTTTAACTTGTTAGGCTTCCCAGATAAATGCATTCAAATTTATTTTATAGCAGAAATTAAATACATGAAAATGTGACAGCACATGAGGCAAAATCCTCTTTGTTTTACTCTACTAAATATTTATAACACAATACTTCATAATATGAACTATTCCCAGGTTTCTATTAAAATTGGCTAATGTGAAAGGGGAGGAACTGGGAGCACAACACAAATCCTTACTTTGTAGCTGCATCATCAAAGGAGGCCACAAACACAAGTGTTCCCTCATGAAGAGGCCGGAGAAACTTCAACAGGTCAGAAACATCTGAAAATGAGCATCAAATGAGATCTGAAGTGCAGTTTATGGGTTGTTACTGCCAAAGTGTATGGACTACAGGACTACAGGATATTAAACATTAATGTCTGGTTTTTATTACCTCCTGCCCACATATCAAAGGTTTTCGTCTCCAAAAGCTCGCCAGTCACCCCTGGAGCAAAGATACATCAGTAAAATGTTAAAACAGCACCATAAAAAGGAGCTAAAAAACAAAAACAATATAGTCTGCTAAAACGTGAAGAATAAGAGTCTTACCATTCACCAAGGCTATGTTTAGTCCCCTGCCAACATTGTTCTTCACACTGCTCACTAACCTGTTAGACAAAACCACAAGGCTTATACGTAGCTATTTAAACTCTTATTCACACTATGTAACACTTATATGGGCCAAGACAACAGGCAAAACGGTGAGAGGGACCAGCAGAAAGAAACAATACTTGCATTCAGCTCCCCAGACAGGCTTGAAGGCCTGGTTATGACAGCACAGAGGAAAAAAACAGAACAGTGTGAAAACAAAACAAAACAAAAAAAAGGGGGGAAAAGGAGGGACTAAGGAGAGACAAAGACATAGATGAAGAACCAGAAATAATTAACACTGAATCTCACATCTTGTCCTCTAGGCAGATTTTAGGGCCAATGACGTTGGCAGCACCAGACACCAGACGGAAAGCCAGATGTTTTGGAGGACAAGGGGCTGAAAGTCCACATTTATATTTTCGTGGGTGGGGTTCTGTTAAAAAACATGTTGATCATAAGAAGGAAGATAAGAATGCAACTTTGTGAAAGTATTCATTAATGAGTAAGGTTATGCTGTACAGTTTGCTTACCTGGTGTTGCGTCTTCACTTGTACCTGAAAAAAAAGCAAACAAACAAAAAACAACTGATTTCTTGATTAAACTTACCAATGTTATAGTCAGAAAATCCAGCCATCAAACATGCATCAACTTTAAACCAACACACATAACTTGTCTGTAGCTTTGTCACTAAAATGACAGACACATTAAAAATCTGATTGCAGTTTAACAACTGCTTGTTTTGACCAGTTAGCAATACAAACACAAAAGATTTAACTCGCATAAAACACACCTAACAATCCAACGTGTAAAGTCATATTTTCCTCCATGTTTGGTAAATTTTATTTGCTTGTCAGTTAACTGGTTTCCGCTTGATTCCTCTTACCGCTGAAGAAACGCAGCATAGAGGACGCACTCTCCCCTCCAAATAAGGTGTTTGCCAGCAGCCAGGTGAAACCCACCAGCAGCACCACAGCCACAGCTCGCAGGGGGCCTGTCACAATAATCAGGACACATCAGCTCAGGCCAGAAACATATGGGTTTATCAATAAATCCCCATTGAAAATATCAACCCACCTGTTAATCTCATGCTTCACTCTTTCATAGACCTGGGGAGAAGAAAAGCATTGACATTAGAGTGGCTTAAGTAGTTTAACAAGACAGGAGACTTTTTAGTAAAACGTTCTTATTTAAAATACCATTTCCCAGCTTCTAGTTATACCAAATATTATAGTCTTTGCCTGTAGTCTACCTTTAGTTTTAAAAGATGATAACATCTGAAAGAAACACAGTCATGAATAAAAAATGTAATTATTTTAAATTATTTAAAAGGGTATTTTTCCTCTGTGTGACGTTTCTCTTCCTAGCTTTATGTTTTTATTTATTAATTTTTTTACAGTGGCCCTGCAAAATGGCTCTGCAGAGATGACGTTTAAAGGTTTTAAAATGAACCCAAACAATCTCAGAGACGAGACACTGAAGAATGAACCCTTAGCGATGTTGTCAATTACATTTCTACTACAATTAGAACCGGAAAAGTTCACTTGTTTACCTTTACAAGCGAGGATCGCCTTGTTTTGCCGCCTTTGCCCGGCTGTAACGAACAGTAACGAGGAGCTGTTGCTCTTGTCACCCTGGACTTTTTGCTATTTCTTGCGCTGTTTCCTCATTGAGTAGTCCCTGACATAAATACGCTTTCAGTAAGAAGACAGGCTGAAGTTGATATCCTCTTTCGACGAACATGGAAAAAGACCTGGTTTAATTTAGCCCATTTGTCTTCCGGATATAACCTACAGCCCACCCCGAGCCTTTTCCACGGACCTCAACCCGTCAGTACAGAGTCTGCGTGAAGTGGCTCACGTGACCAAAAAAAAAGATTCTAAAAATTATTTTTAGTGTTTGTTTTTTTTACTCAAATTCTTACAATATACATCACACTTAAGAAATAATAAAATAAATTAAATAAATTAAAAAAGGAACAGTCTTTCTGTCACATCGGCACATCTGCTCCTCTTATTAAACACGCGACCAGCGCTGCAAAATCAAGATGGCTGCCCACAGTGCCGTACTCTCCGCGTCCAAAATAATGAATCCTTTCTGGGTTGGACGCCTTGGAAACACTGCTAAAGTAAGACAAGACACGCAGCCCTTGCTCTTTCGCTTGTGAATGGTGTTGCGTGGCTCTAATTTAAACTCCGTTATAATTTTTTTAACACAAGGTCATGCTGTTAACATCATTTGATTAGCAAAGCTAGCGGGCTTTTCCACATCTGTGGGTTGGTCACAGGTTTTACGGCATCCGTACACGGGATCCATTTAAAAACACGCTCTAAATCATTTGCACTTTGTATTTTCCAGGTATTTGGAACAACTTTGATCAGACACCGGAATAAGACCTCGCTTACTGTGAGTGAGTCAGATCGGTACATGGGATTGTTGTCAGTTTCCGGGCTGTTTTGCATTGGAAGTTGTCTTTTTCAGTGTAACTTGGGAATTGTGTGTGTGTATATGTGTTTTTCCACTTTGTTGTGGGGTGAAGGTTATGACACTACTCTGTTTGCCACTATTTGGACCAAACCTGTTCTTCTAAACATCAAACTGACTCTTGTCCTTCTGCTTTCCTCTGTTCACCTTCAACAACAGGGAGAAAACATTGTAAGTAGCTGACTCGTGACACGGTTCACTGCAATTCACTGCATCATGTCTTAAACGAGAATATTTTCTATAACGGGGTTATGATATAGGAAAAAAGATGTGTGATGAGAATAAAAACACTAGCATGATCAAAATAATATAACAGTTTTTAAACATCATGTTGCATGGATGCATGGAAATTTTGTTACCATCAATTTCAACTGGAATTTCTAACCATCTTGAGTCACAATAATAAACACAGTAATGACATCATCAAATCTATTTAAATATTTGTCAAACCTAAAAACACTATTAACTGCCTGAGAATAATCTCTCAAACATACTTACTTGGTGCTCTGGACATGTGCTGGTTGATTTTTGGCCAGTGATTTGTAAGCTGTGTCCATTGTCAGCATTTTCAGCAATTCCTACTGCTATTAATACTACTACTACTATTACTATTATTCTTTTCTTTTGACTTCAGAATTCCTACTGCTTCTGTGTATTAAAGTATTGCATGATATTGTCAACCCACCACAGTGAACATTACTACACCATATCTATTTGTTATTATGTCATTGGTAATGTGGACATAAGCAGACACCAGATACCAAAAACTATCAAATTCACTGTGTACCTTATTTTCATGAGATTATTTGTAGACTTAGAAAGGTAAACTTTTTTTTTCATAACATATGTTTACTGTAGTGGATGATCTGTCTTTAAAAGGTGCCAAACCTTCAATTTTCTCTATTTATTGAAGTTGATCCTTTGGTATTTAACAATCTTCTAGCCCCCTCCAGCAAAGTATGGAGGCAGGCACACTGTGACCCTCATACCTGGTGATGGGATCGGTCCAGAGCTTCTCAATCATGTCAGAGAAGTTTTCAGGTTGGTTAGATTGAATCTCAGTCCTGTTGAGTGATTACATGTCATCTACAGTCACATAAGAATTGAATCCATTGTGTGGTTTGTGAACATTGTGCTGCAGGTTCACCTGTGTGCCAGTTGATTTTGAGATGGTGAATGTCAACTCCGCTTTGGAGACCGATGATGACATGAATAATGCCATCACTGCCATCCGGCGAAATGGAGTTGCCCTGAAGGGTAAGCAAACAGCTTCTTCTTTTTTTTTTTTTCGATCAACGTATGAAAGCATGAAAAACAGAACATAGCTGTAAGTAGAGTATAATTTTTAATAAGACAGTTGAACTAAAGTAACTGTGTAATTGCTTACCTCTTTTGATAGGTAACATAGAAACCAAACATACCCTGCCAGCGTCTGTCAAATCCAGAAATAATGTGCTGCGGTAAGTTTAGATGAAATCTTTAGTTTCCTAGATTAGGGTCATTTTTTT